CCACCGAGTGTGTGACGTTTTGTCACAGCAATCCCCGAAACCACCGCTCCACCATATAGGTCCCTAAGTACCTTCCAGTCAGGTGCTTTTGGGGCACAGTGAAACCTGCTCATAAGGGTCACTACTTCCAAGTCCCTGTGAAGAAAGACACAAAAAGTGACCCATGGCCCAGGTCACTGCCTCTGGCTGATGCACTTCTCCGCCTGTGAGCAGTTTCAGAAGCCCTACACCGATGGTCACCACAGCCCAACCCCTAAGAAGAGTCGGAGATGGATGTGAGTCCCTCTGAACTTCCTTAGAAATAAGCACAAAATCAAAGCAGCTCAAGTCATAGGAGGAGTCAGAAACACATTGCCTGCCCACTGGCCATTCCGAGTAGACACCACAGAGCTCTCGGCCCCGAAAGTCCAGCAGCCTTCAGTGTGGCACCAGCTTCATCCATCACTGCCTCTTAGCTTGCTGGCTGAGATTACTCTTGCTCACAGCATATTTGATTTTCTTTCATTTCTTGCTTATTTTAAACATGAATTACAAAGGAGAAGTAATTCCCTGTTCACAACTGTGTGACAACAGACCCACCAGCTGACCCTACAGCTGCCCTCGGGCTAAGTCCTGTCTGTGCTCATCTGGAAGCCCAGCTGTCGGCCCTCAGAATAGGAAGGGTTTTTTCAAAGAGAAAAGACAACTGGGACAGGCAGAGTGTGGGTGGGGGTTGGACAGGGTGGAAAATGTGCAACAATGAATGAATGGGAATCCAAGTTCTGTATAAACTGTGATTAAAATCTCAATTAAAAAAAAAGTTAAATTTGGTGAAGACTACTGATCGGAGAAACCCACTGATGTTAATGGACTGTCATTAATTTCAGAGAGGATATTATAGAAAACTGGGTATTGCACTTATAATTCAGAATAATGAAGTATGGAAGGGCAGATAAGCATTTCTTTTATTGATTGAATATCATTTCCTTATATTAAGCACATAATAAAAATAGAACCCTAATTTAAAGCAAAGCCCCCGAAAATAAACAAAGGACATCCTAAATTTAAATCCGTCAGCACAGCCCACTCTGTTTGTGGCTTCTTCCCAGGAGGGGAACTCAATGCTCTGGAATTCCAGGGAGCCCAGACTTGCCCACCAGAATTACTCGACACCCCAGCAGACCATTCCAGGTAACGGACAAGCTTAGGGAGCGGGAAAGCCTTTCTCATTCCTGGAGTAAGCACATTGCCAAGAGGGATTGGGACTCTTCTACCCTTCTGGTTTTTAGTTTTCCAGAAAACAATTCCATGGGTTCCCTCTCTGCTGTATTCTCAACAATTTTATATAGTTAACGAGTGGTGCTCTCTGGCTGGGGAGATGAGCCCTTCTTTTTTCACAGAGTTCCTTGAGCCAGTCCCACTCACGAAGACCACATCTGGACCCTCACACACAGCCCCGGACTCCATCCCCTTCCCCTTGTTGGGCACAGCTAGGAGCCTTAGACTCAGGGGGCATCCCACACCCAGCCCACCCCATGACCCCCATGACCAAGACTCTAGACCATCAGCCAACACATTACAGCTGTGAACCCAGTCTGGCCTCCACAGCCTGAAAGCTGAGACTAGAACTTATCTTTTTAAGTGGTTAAAAAAAATTCCTATTCTAAGATGTAGTGAAAATTATGTGCAATTCACATCTTGGCAGCCATTATCAAGTGTCATTGGACCCATGCCACCCTGTCCACATGCCATCTCGGCAGCTTTGTCTCTACTTATGCAGAGCTGAACAGTTGCAACAGAGACCACGTGCCCAGCAAATCCTAAAATATTTACCAACTGGTTGTTGTCAAGCAGATTCCAACTCAAAAGTGACCCCGTGTAACTGTGCTACACTGGATTTGCAATGGCTGGAGTTCTGGAAGTAGGTGGCCAGGCCTTTTTAATGAGACATCCTTGGGTTGACTCAAACCTCGAATGACTCAGTGAGCAGCCCACTGTGCCGCAGTGCGGCTCCAGAAGACTTGGTGCCTGACCCTTTACCACGTGCTGACCTCTGCTCTGGATGAGTGTTTTCCGGGGCTGATTGTGGTAGCTACAAAGAGTGCCTCACTCAGTGAGGGGACACCAAGGAAGACAAAGATGGCAATGGGAGCCTTTAAAATAATAAAGCAGTCCATGCAAAATAAGGGCGCTCTGGTGGCCGAGTGGCAGGAAGCCACACTGCCATCCCAAAGGCATGTAGTTCAAGTCTATCAGCTGCTCCGCGGAAGAAGGATGGGCAATCTCCTCCCAGGCAATTAACTGCCCTGGAAACCCACCAGAGGGTCAGCTATGGATATGTTCCAACTCAGCGGTACAAAAAAGAAGCACTCACAATACAACAAAAACCCCATCGCACGGAGTTGATTCCAATTTGTGATGACCCCATAGGACAGAGTAGAACTTGCCCCTACGGGATTTCCAAGGCAAAAATCTGGACCAAAGCAGACTTCTTTGTCTTTCTCCAGAGAGCAGCTCGTGGGTTTGAACCACTGACCTTTTGGTAGCAGATGAGTTCCAGAGCACTCACACCAGACCCTCAAATATCTGTTGCCATTGCATCAATATTTACACATAGTAAGTGGACAATTTATCAACAATCTGCGTTATGCGGATGACACAACCCTGCTTGCAGAAACTGAAGAGGACCTGAAGCACCTGCTGCAGAGTGTCAAGGACTGCAGCCTACAATATGGATTGAGGCTCAATGTCAAGAAGACAAAGATTCTCACCACTGGACCAATTGGCAGCATCAGGATGGATGGTGAAGAGATTGAGATTGTACACAGCTTTAGTTTGCTTGGCTCCACAGTCAACAGTCTTGGCACCAGCAGCCAGGAAACGAAAAGGCACATTGCCATGGGAAAGTCTGCTGTTAGGGACCTCTCCAAGGTACTGAAGAGCAATGGTGTTTCTCTGGAGACTAAAGTGCATTAGATACAGGCCGTGGTCTTCGCAATCACTTGTTATGCATCAGAGTTGGACAATGACCAAGGAGGATAGAAGGGGAATTGATGCCTTTGAGCTGTGGTGCTGGAGAAGAGTATTGAGAGTACCATGGACTGCTAGGAAAACAAACAGATTCATCCTGGAAAGGGTCAAACCCAGTGGCTCCTTGGAGGCAAGGATTCTGAGGGTCCGTCTAACATACTTTGGACATGTTGTGAGGAGAGACCGGTCCTTGGAGAGGGACATCATGCTTGGGAGGGTGGAGGCACAGCACAGGAGAGGAAGGCCCTCTATGAGGTGGATTGATTCAGTGACTGGGATAATTGGGGTGGGTGTGTCAGAGACAGTGCGATTGGCACAGGACAGAGTGGAGTTGAGGGCTGTTGTACATAGGGTTGCTATGAGTCGCAAGCGACTCCACGGCACATAACAACAACAACAACAACAACAATCCTGTCTCAGGTGACCAAGGCTATAAATATTTACGAGCAGATATTGCCTTATCCTTCTCCCCTGGGAAAGCTGGTAGATCCAAACCACCGACCTTTTGGTTTGTGGTCCAATATTCTGTCACAGAGACAGTCTCCATTCCAATACTCACAATGTCACTGACATTCACATGAATGAAGGAAGGGAAAGCCTGCTTCTAAGACTAACGATAAAGAGCTCTGGTGGCCTACTGGTGTAAGGGGCTACACTGCCAACCTGAAGGTGTGCAGTTCGAATCCACCAGCTGCTCTGTGGGAGAAGAATGTGCACTCTTCCTCCTGTGCGATTTACTGCCTCTGAAAACCTGCAGGAGGGCCAGCTATGAGTGGATGTGACTCAACGGCACACTGGTAAGATTAAAGAGAAAAGAACTTCACAGAAATTGGTTGGACCATTTGCTTTATGAGCAGGGTGGGAGAAGCTGTTGAGCATGTCATCAGAGGTGGCAGGGCAGTAGTCTTGACTGGTCAGGAGACGAGCAAGGGATTGCTACCGTCATGACTGTGATGTGGTTGGATGAGAAAATAGAGTATGTGCATTAAGGATTGAATTGAGTCTCCCCTAAAACAGGGATTGGAATCCTGACTTCCTAAACCTATGAATATAATCCTATTTGGGAATGAGGTTTTCTTGTTATCAGACCATGTCCGTGTGGAGCAGGTCCTGAACCTAAACACCTGTGAGTTGTAAGAGCAGAGGGACACGAGCAAACAAGGGAAGGCCAAGGCCGTGTGATGTCGCTGAGGAACCACGGCTGAGACTAGATCTCCCCAAGCCAGTGGGTCTTACAGGCTGGTCTGACCTTGGACCGTAAGAAAATAAACTTCTGTTCTTCAAAGCCAGTCACTTGTGGTCGTTCTGTGATAGCAGCTCTAAGGGACGAAGGCAGTGGGTGAGGAAAACGTGGAAGATGGGGTAGAACTCCATGATACCACTGCTGTCAAGTGATTCTGGCTCATGGAGAGTCTCCACTGGGCTTCCAAAGCTGGAAATCTTTATAGGAGGAGATTGCCTTGCTCTCACGGAGCACATTGTGGATTTGAACCGTCAACCTTTCAGTTAGCAGCCCAATACATTCTGTATTATGTCACTTAGGGATCCTCAGCTCCAGGATAAACTAGGGTCAAAACACAGGCCACTGGAACCAACCCAGCCCCAAAGGGAACACCACCTGTGAGAATGGCCACAACTCCCGAGCCCCCTTTGTGCTGGCCCCACTCCCACGTCTTCTCTGGAAGAAGCACTTTCTTCTGCCATAACCTTTGTGCGTGAAATCATCAAATCCTTGTTAAATCATTTTAATATAACTTTGAAGAAAAACACCTTTCATCAAGTAAGCCATAAATACATTCATTTCAGTAGCAAGGAGTAATGAAGGGAAACAAAACTATTTCTGCTGGCCTGACACTGCTCCTTGCTACCTGCCTTTGATAAGCAATTATAAATCACATGTTTGTTTAGTGTTTGTGAAAACAAGAGATCGGACCTCAAGGAGGAAGAGGGTAAGAAAGGAGAGTTTGCCACCAGCCTGGGGGTTCCTCGGTTTAGTTTTTCTGATCTCGCTCACGGGCAGCCACAAAGTTCAGCAAGTCGATGGCAGTGACGATTCCAAACACCATCTGCTTCTTACTGGACTCCCTGTGGCTGTGGTCTGAGGAGAGAACAGCGAGGTGGCGGATGAAAAGGTGCCTCTCCCAGGGGGTGACCTGAGACACTTGTGCTCACCGGCAGAGTGTCTCCCCATCCTGATTCATGCGTGCCCTCAAGCAATGAGGGCCACAGGACCACAGGGTGACTCCTCGGGGAGTGTAGTCTCCCAACAGGGGCTGCCCTGGCGTCCAGGCCCAAGGGAGCCTCGCTGCTTCAAGCCACACCCACGGGTCACATGGCTAAGGTGTTCTCACCCACTCAAGCCTGAAACCCAAGCACTGATCACCCTGCGGGTCAAATGCAACTCAAACCTGTGCCCTGTGAGGCTGCTATGCAATCCCTCCTGGCTGATGCACACTTAGAACCAATGCCTGCCCCTGGGGAGGGTGGCGACAACCCCATTCTCTCCTCCTCCCTGGGCAGAGGGTTATGAGGACCCTGGACAATGGAGGAGGTGGTTGGGTCCACATCTTCAGGCAGGGGAGCAATGAGAAATGCCCAGGTTGGCCTACTGGATCCTTTTCCCAGCACTACGACTATCCCTACAATGACACTGTTGCCTTTGCCAAAGTCAGGCTCTCTGGCCCACTGCCAGAAGACAGCACTCCTTGCTGGGAAGAAACAAGGGGGCACTAAACTCAGCTACCTGTGTTTCAGGGGCATTAGGGGCAACCCTGAAGACTCCAAGGTCTGAGATGCCCAAAACTCAAGTCACAGTGAGACTTAGGTGGAGAACAGCCCCTTCTCCATATCCCCTGGCCCCTGGCCCCGACTCAGGGAAGATACACTGCCCAGTGGTGAGAATCAGTTATCAAAGCTGGAGAGCCCAGGGTCCTACAAACCCTCCTGATCCTCAGGGCCCACGTCTAAGTGGGGGTGAGGTTGTGTACGTACCTGCAGGCCCACCCACCATGCCCGCCAAGGCCTGGTCCGGTGCTGCAGAGCCAAGGGCAGGAGAGGCGGTTAGACAGAGACCAGCCCTCAGGCGCCGAGCCTCCACGCCCTCTACGCCTGCTGTGCACAAGGCCAGCGGGGAGGGCCGGGAGAGCAGGCACAGGGCCCTCGATTTCTTACTCCATTTCCAGTCCCCAGAACAAGGTACTGCTTGCTGCACTCTCAGAGGGACTGAGGTGTAGCTTTATGTGCTCGGGGCCCTCTGAGAGCCACTTGGTCTCCAGGGACCCCCTTCAGCCCTGAGAACAGGGCATGAGAGAGGAAGCGAGGAGTGCGGGAGTTGTGGAAGACCTCCAACCTCAATGATGTTGCCAAGACATGGAACCCTCCCAGATGTAACTGAGGCTGACCCTTTACCATTCCGAAAGCTAAGAGCCTCAACATCTGAGTCCAGGCACTCCAGAAGCCAAGGCCATGTGAGTTAGCTCTTGCCTCGTGCACAGCACAGCCTCCACACCTCCCAGCAACTTTGGAGTCTAGTGAGGGGTGCTCATTTATTACAAAGGCAAATCAGTATCGTTCTGGGGTGGGAGGTCTAAGGGAGAAAACAGGTGGAGGAGCCTCGCTGCTCTGTAGACCTCACATCCGCAGAAGGCACTGCCTACATCTCAGAGGCCGGGGCAGGGGAGGCAAGGTGCTCCAGCCACAATGGTCCAGTACCGTACCTGTGCTCCCACACCATCCCCTTTACCCCCTGTGCCAGGGCCCCACTCACATTGAATCTGCTCGTGGACCACCAGCGCAAAGTGGTCCATCTCCAGGATGTGTGAGAGCTGGCCCAGAGAGTCCATCAAGCGGATCTGCAAGAGAAGTGGAAGAGAGCTCACTCAGCGCCCGCAGGACCCCAGGGAACCGCCTCTGGAGCCTGCTGCCCCTGGTGGCCACCGCCTGCCACTGCATGGGAGGTTCTGCACAAAGAAAGGTGCTTTCCTGGAGGAACAGCTATGTCCTGCATCCTGTTAGATTCTTCCTTCAGCTTTTGGCTCTGATTTAGAAAACGAAAGAATCTGAGGGCAATGAGACACAGGTAAAAAGACATGAGCTAAATCAAAAGCAAACTCACAACCATCAAGTTGATTTTATGTATGACAACCTCCTCAGTTTTTTAAATTTATTTATTTATTTATTTTTTCTATATTTTATTAATTTTCATAAACATTTACAGAGATTTTGGGTTTCCATTCATTCCTTGTTGCACTATTCTCTCTACCCTCCTCCCAGTTTGTTCTTGTCCAAATGCCACAGTGCTTGTCAAAGCCTGTTCTGATTAATCTTCTTTGTCAGTGTGTCCTTTGCCATTCCCTATCACTCCTCCCTGAGAGAGACTTCACCCTGAGTCATAAGGAAAAGGGGATGGCGTATTCTCTTAGCTACTTCCTGCTGAAAAGGGACGCTGTGGGTTTCAGGGTGAAGATCTTCTCTCACTACTCTAAAGGGCCCCTTTGGCAGTAGGAAACACATAGACTATTATGGAGATTGATTTTGGGATTTAGATGCACTCTTATTGATTGTGCTTGGCCGTACATGTTCATATCCTTGAAGATGTATCATGGGGGTGTTGCAACCTAGAAGGCACAAATTTGACTAACAAGTTATAAGTACATGAGTCCAAAATTTATGGAAAAGTAAAAGAAAAGATTCTTTCATTGTTTTACAAACCCTCCCCCAGGTCCCCTCCACCATGTAGCCCTCGCTCTAGTCTCCTGTGATGACAGAAATACCTAGTTATATATCTCTTTTAAACAGTTTTCTCCCTCCTCTGTTTCAGTGCAGTATACATTATTGAACCCATCTTACTCAGTCTCTCCCCAACAGTGGCATCATGTAATATTTGTCCTTTTGTGACTGGGATATTTCACTCAGCATAATGTTCTCCAGAGTCAACCATTTTGAATAATATTGCATGAGTTCCTTGTTTTTTAATGCAGCATAGTATTCCATTGTGCGAATATACCACAGCTTCTCTAGCCATTTGTTTGTTGATGGGCACTTAGGTTGTTTCCAACTCCTTGCTATTGTGAACAAAGCTGCAATAAACATGGGTGTGCATATATCTGCTTGGATGTCAGCTATGGTCTCTTCAGGGTATATTCCCAGTAGTGGAATTGCTGGGTCAAATGGTATCTCTATTTGCAACTTTTTGAGAAAGCGCCATACTGCTTTCCACAGGGGTTGCACCATTTTACACTCCCACCAACAGTGAATAAGGGTTCCAGTTTCTCCACAACCTCGCCTCCTCAGTTTTTAGGGTGTATATCTTAATGTGAACAGATAGTCTCATCTTCTTCTCTTAGAGTGACAAATGGATTTGAATTACTGACTTTTCAGTTTGCATGCCAACATATAAAACACTAGGCTACCAAGGCTCCTTAAACAGACATGTTACTGTCGTTATATGCCATCGAGTTGGAAGCGACTCATAGCTAATGCTCCAGCAAGTTTTCAGAGGCTATAAATTACACAGAAGACAACTGCCCAAGTTTCTCCCATGAAGTAGCTGTGGATTTGAACCACCTGTCTTTGGGGTGGCAGTAGAGCTTCTTACCACTAGGCCACCAGAGCTCAGTGCTTCAAACTAGTCTAGCCATGGTTGAAAATGCAAAATCAGAACATACCCCAGAGCTGGAAAAAAAATGGAGTGATATGGAATAATTGTAACAAGAAAATTATGGGCCAAACTCTGGAACAAAGCAGTGGAAAAAAGTATAGAAGGTCATTTCAGGAACCTGATGTGGGAGATTGGACGAGTGCCAGATTTTAAGTTCCTACGAGGGTGCCAACTTATAATTTTTCTTATCATCTAGGTTCACCTATATTTTATAATTTGAGGTCTGCTCCAATTTTGCTTTGCCAATTTGCAAGAACCAATTCAAAATCTTGAGTCTCTCTTTCTTATTGCTGTCAAGTCAGACTCACTAAAAACTGACCCTCCAGCGGGTTTTCAGAGGCTGTAAATCACAGGGGAGGAGACTGCCCCTCTTTCTCCCAGGAACCACCAATGGCACCACTCATTGTCTCACACACTGCTAGCTGGAAAAAGCCACTCTGAAAAGTTAACACTATATGATTTTAATTCTATGTGTTCAAGGAAAAAGAACATTTTTAAAGACAGTGAAAAGAGCCCAGGGCTCAAGGAGAAGGATGAATAGGGCAGTGAACTATGCCGTATGACACTGTAATGGTGACCTCAGAATTGTGCAATGCAGAGTGAACCCTGTGTCCCAATATTGGTTATCAGTTTAAACAAATGTACTAAAAGAAAGTAAGATGTTACTAATAGGTAAAGTTGTATGCAAGGGGACCTTGTTCTTACATGGTTTTGTTGTTATTATTATGTTATTATTATTTGGTTGTTTTATTGTTGTTTTTTAATGCCGTCGAGTCGTAGACAACTCATAGCGACCCTATGAACGAACAGCCTGAGCACTGTTCGTACATAGAGTTTCCAGAGGCAAGCCATTTTGAAAGTGGATGCCGCTCCTGCTTCCAGGCTTGATTTAGTGGGGAAGCTCCAGCCAACACTGTCCATCATGGGTGCCCATTACCACGATTGGCACATCACTGTCACAGGCTTCAGCATCACAGCAAGCACGAGTTACCTCTGTACAGCAACACACAGACCAGTGCTATACCACCTTTTGGTTATTATATGTTATTGTTCTGTGTTATGTATTGTTGCTAAACCAACTCATAGATGATTCTCTAGTGGGTTTTCAGCGGCTGTAAATCACTCAAGAGGAGAATGCCCATCTTTCTCCTGAGGAGCAATTGGTGAACTTGAACGATGTGCCTCTGAGCTGGCAGCACAACTCTTTACCAATAGGCCACTAAAGCTCCCTGTGCAGGGGGATTTGGATGGGAAATGGGGTATATAATAGCCCAGGTGGCATGCTGCCTAACATGTCAGATTGCTAATCAAAAGGGCTGTGGTTCAAATCCACCAGCCACTCTACAGCAGAAAGATGAACAACCTTCTCCCATAAAGATTCATAGCCTTGGAAACCTCATGATGTGCTGCTATGAGCCAAAATTGACTCAGGGATAAGGGCAATCAATGGCTTTTTTGTTTTAGGGATCTCTTTGCTCAGTAGAAAAAATACTAGAATTTCTAATAAAAAGAAAAGACACTTGAGGACATCTGGTGGAATGCAAGACAATCAGAATGGAGAATCTGGAAAAGGAGAAGAGACCAGTTGAGACATAGCATCTTAACCTTAACTGAGAAGTAGGGTGGAGTGAGGCCATGTAACCTGCCTTGGCCGAGCTCTGGAGGACCCTGGTCAGTGGCACTAGCCTTGGTAAAAACACTGGTCTCGTCTCTCACTCCATCATTCATTCCACAAGCCACTTCTTGGCCAAACTCATCATGAAGGCTAGTGTGATGATCGAGGTCAACGTGGCTAGGCCATGCTTCTCAGTGGTTTGACAGACATTATATAATCATCCTCTAGTTTTCAGTCTGATATGAGCCATCAGATGAAAAAGGAGTTGCCTTAGAGATGTGGCCTGCAGCCAACAAAGTCCATGGATGTTGTGGCATATTATGTCTTCTTAGTCCTGCACCCAACACATAATCCTCTGACTTCTGATTCTTGGGATGTGAGCCAGCAGCCTGCCATCTGGCTAGTAGATGTGGAGATTCACCAGCCTCTGCAGGAGAAGCCTTCAGCCTATGGACATGGTCTATAGATTTGGGATTTGGCAGTCTCCACAGTGTGAGCCATTTATTTTTTTTAAAAAGTTAGTAATTAGAATCCACCAGCTGCTAGAAGAAAGATGAGAAGGCTTCTCCCATGATTTACAGTCTTGGAAACCCAGTGGAGGGCAGTTACAAGCTGCAAGTGACTTGATGGCAGTAGCTGAGTGAACGTGATATGCATATATATGAATATATAAATGTGCTTCTATGTGTACACACATGTACGCATGTATATATACGGGCTACAGCTGGCTGTGTTAATTCAAAAGCTGGGCCTCTGGTGGTTTGACTCCACCAGGATCTCTGGGGGAGAAAGACAAGTAATCTCTCCTTGTGTGCTTTATCACATCAGAAACACAGTGGAGGGTTGGAATTCGAGTTATGTGTGTATAGTATATATATCTCCACACATACACTCTACCCTCCAGCTTTGTTCCTCTAAAGAACCCAGCCCAAGACCACTGATGAAGAAAAGACAGAGGTGAGATAGAAAACAAGGTCAAGACCACAGAGTGCACAAATAGCTCAATCCAAGACCCTGTTCTTACTTAACTACATGAAACATGATGCCAAAGAAAAATACTTGCTGGTGGCAAGAGGCTTAGCCGGCTCCAGTCTCCACATTCTTTAAAATGCCACCAAGTTGCCAATAACCCATGTGACTCCATATGTGTCAGAGTGGAACGGTGCTTCCACCACCCAAGGACTCTGTATAATCTTTTAGGAATCACATTTAAGAAAGTTAAATCACATTCCAGGGGCCTTTTGGGGAGCCCTGTAGGACGCAGACATGGTCTCTCTGACCCATGAGGAGTTGTGAGTCTATTTCCATTTCTCCACGTCAGATGGCTTGATGGCTGGACTGGAATTCTCCTCTCCTTGAGAGAATCAGAATTAAGGAGATAGACGGTAACAGCTTTAGAAATCAGACTTAAATAAAGCTATAATTTTGTAAGTAACAATCTTTCTAGCTTTAAACATTTCAGAAATTTTAAAAAAATACCAGAAGAAATGAAAGCCTGCCACACCCATTGTCAGAAAAAGGACAGAGCACCAAGCTGCACAGCACCCAGAAGGTCATAATCCTCACAGTTCAAATCC